TTAAAAAGCATTTGTCTTAGAATTTGCTTTGTATTGGTACAAATTAAAAATGTAATAAATATATTTTTTTATAATTAATTTACATTAAAAGTGATAAAAGTTGACATATATTTTAATATAACTATATGTGGATGATGCTATTTGGTTGATTGATTAAATCAAAGTTATTATTTATATTTTTAATAAAAATTAATTATAAAAAAATACATTTATTACATTTTTTTTTCTCTTGTTTTAAAAGTGTTATTTATGTTTTTTAAGTTTAAAATTTTATTAGAAGAAAATTTACAAATTATCTTTTAAAATAAATTTTAAACAAGTTTTTAAAAAATTAAATGCGTAATTTTTAAAAACTTACTTTAAATATTTCTCTTAAATAAAATTTTGTATTTGTGAGAAAAAATAAGTGTTTTTAACCTCCACCAAATAACGTCAATATTCTAGCCATTTTATTCCAAATATTAGGTGGCCAAAAAAAAAAAACTTTGAATACTAGATAAAAACTATTACCAACTTGTATTCAAAATGATTAAAATATCATTAATAAACTTATATGTGTACTTGATTTATTAATGAAATTCTGAAAATTTTTACTCTGACTGATAAGTTTTTTTAGTGAGAAATGACATATTATTAACAATATTTATCCAAAGCATAATATAACAATAATTTTCATTGCAAAAAGGTATACGTTAGTTCTAATTTTTAATTTACTTTTGAAATCTTCGAATGTCTTTTAGTTATTCAACTCAAAATAACGGATCTTATGTCATTTTATTGATATGACTATTTTCACTATTTTAACACTATCTTTTGAAGTAAGTAGTTGAGAGAGTGTTAATCCCTCATTCAGCCCTTTATCATGGAATAAAATACGTACCGAGTGGCTCGAAATGAATTTGTTTTTGCATTCCACAGAACCAATATCTAACTATTTTATAACCCATGTTATTTAAAAGGGTTTTTCTATTTTAGGATAAAGATGTATAAAAATTATTTTTTATTTATCTCCTTAAAATATCAAATTTTATTTTAATTAATAAGATATAAGGAACAAAAGTTGAACTTATGAATTTTTGCATATAGAATCATATGGGTGCTGCTATGGGGACTGATGGTCCCTGGGCTGAGAGAGGACCGATGGACCCTATAGCTTTGTGTTTTAATTTTTTAAATCTTTTAACACTTTTTTTATTTTTTAGTTTTAACTAATTTTTAGTTTTATATTTTAGTTCTGATTAGTTTTTAATTGGAAAGACAATCTTAAAAGCATAAATTCTTGACCATAAACTTTAAATATTGAACCTTAAAAAAAATTTAAACATTTTAAAGAAAAATTTTAATGCACCTTCAGGTTTAATAGGTTTCTTGACATATGCTTGATTTAGTCATAAAAATATATGTTAAAATATCATTTTAATCCTTCAACTTTTTGGTTTCGCATCAAAATTGTCCCTAAACTTTAGAAAGTATCAAAATTACTCTTAGACTTTGATTTTCGATACCAAAATGATCATTCTGTTGAAGAAAGTGACAAATGTCACGTTAAGTTGCCAAAAAAAAAAAAGAAAAAAAAAACTTCCACTATCCTTACCTCAATATTCCTCCCAATGGAATCCATTCTCCATGTTTTCAACACATTCCCATTCTCCAACAACTAGATTAGGTTTTTGACCCAAATCTGTATTGATATCACACCAGTGTTTTTCTCTTGTTCTCCAACATTGGAATTTTTCTCCTCATTCTCCAGCATCCGCACCATCATCAACTCACGCAGCACCTAGATCAAGTTATGTTGCAGAGCAAAACCTAATTTGGATTTTTTATTTACCTAGATCTAGGTTGTAGATATCATGAGCAACTACAATTGATGGATTTATACAGTGATTAGATTGGTCCAAAGGATCATGAACATACCCAAATTTCTAATATTCTTTAGTATGTTGAATCAACTCTAAAGGGAATTTCTATTGGGTTGTTTGGTTACTGAGAAAGGAGAAGGAAGAAGAAAATTTTGGGGTAGTTTTTGTTTAAATTTGTTTCCATGGAAGAAGTTGATTGATTATGAGAGCAATATCAAATTTTATTTTTATTTTTTTTGAACAGAGAGGAATTTTCAAGGGAAAGGGAGTGTAGGGCTTGGGAATAAAACCCAGGCCATTATGTCCACCCACTCTTCCAGGGGGTGGCCACTAAACCATCGAGGGTTGGATGAGAGCAATATTAGATTTATTTATTGGTTGTTTGGAAGTTTATATATGTTTAGGAAATTTTGTGAAGTTAATTTTGACGTTAGATGTAAGGGTAATATTTCTGTAGAGGAAAAACATGAATATTTTGGGGTTTAAAATGATTTTTGAGTTTTGTTTGGTGAAGAAGACAATAGAAAGAAAGAAATTCTATTAAAGATTTGATTTATTTGTAGATTACTTGGTAATAGTTAATTACATATTTTTGTGGTAATTAATTACATAATTATTCAATGATTAATTACATTTTAAATAATTTAACTTCTTAATTAATTGAATCGGTCAATCTTTTATTAAAAGTATTAAAATATTAAAAAATATGAGCCCTATTGCCACCTCAATTATAAAATTTTACCACATCAGCATATTTGTCTATGTGGCATATCCAAGTAATATTGAGATATAAAAATAGAACACTTCTAACGAAGAAGTTGGCCACATTAGCATTTAACTCACGTAAGGACAAAATTAGTTCCAAAAAGTGAACTTTAGGGATTGTTTTGGTACTTTTTAAAGTTTAGAGATAATTTTGGTACAAAATGAAAACTTGAGGGATCAAAATGGCATTTTTACCTAAAATATAACATAAGTATAGTTGATTTAACCGATTTTTGCATACTATATGGATGGTTGCATTTTTAAATTTATCTATTTTTAATTTTATATTAAAAAATAGTAATTTTTTAATAAATATGTTATATAATATATTGAATTAGAAAGTATACTAATCAATGTCTAAATTTTACACTCCAACACATTAAACACTAAATATTAAACCCCAAAAGAAATTAAATTATAACACAAAAATTAAACCCTACAACCTAACAAATTTAAACTCTAACACAATACTCACATAGGCTTTGTTTGTGATTATTTACATTTTTTGAATAGCAAAAGACAAAAAAAAACTTATAAGTATAGCACATCACAACACTGATAAGCCAAGCCTTAATATTAAAAAAATCTAAATCCTAACAACCTGAATGCTAAACTAAAAAATAGAATTAACCATAAACCTTAACATCTTACTTTACTAAATACTAAAAACTCTAAACCTTAACTCTCAAAATACTAAACTCTAAAAAATCTAAACCCTAAAGTCTAAATTCTATCACACTAAATATGAACAATAAAAATCTAATTAAATCCAAATACCCTAGTTACTAAACCTGAAAAAATATAAACCCTAACACTAAAAATATTGAACTTAAAGAAAAATATAAACCCCAAAAAGTAGACCCTAAAAAAATATTATTGATCTACTAAATTAAAATATTAATGTTTTATTTTAGGATAATGATGCCTTTTTTAGGGGTTTAAAAGTTAAAATCTTATAAATTTGAGTGTCTAGTTACTGTTTACCGCTTTTATACAAAATAAAAATGTAAAAGAGAAAAACAAATCCGACAAATGTGGCATAATTCGAATCATATTATTTTCCTTTTCATAAAGAAGAGCAAATATTTACCCCTCTCCCTATGCACACATCCGTGATAAGCCCAATCCAAAGAGCTCCCATCCAAAGAAGAGTTCATGCAACTTGCATTTGTGATCATGACAAGAAAATGGGCAGTGTTGTCTCTTCGTTCTCCATCCTCCACAATTTTCTTGCATTCACTTATGCTACATTTTATCAATCTTTATATATATTATCTCCAATATTTTCGATAGATTCATTTTTTTTTTTTTTCGGACTTTGAGGTATCTTCAACTTCGTTTATATAATTATACCTATTTTAAAATTGAGTAATGATGCCGAGGACGAAATTGGAGGACGAATTTGGGGGACGACAAGTGATGGGAGGATTTATGCATGTGGTGCAATTATTAATTTAACCTCTTCCATCACCTGTCGTCCCCTAAATTTACCCTCCGATTTCGTCCCTGCATTATTACTCTTTAAAATTAATTATTTTTTGAAAGATTTTAAAAGTGCATTTTTATCAATTCAATACATTTAAAAATTTAAGTTCTTTTAAATACTGACCATGATCAGATCAGAACTCCGAGCAATGTTTTCATCGATTCATGACTATTATTCAAACATATATTATTGTAATTTATTTTACTTCTTTTATTTTAAAATAATTATTATTTTTTGATTTTAAGTTTTTTTGAATTAATTATTATTTTTTTAAGTTAAATAATTTTTTTTCTTATTTTAACTCTATTATTATCAATTTATTTTAATTAATTATTCTATCATAAAAAAATCTCATTTTATTGTTTTAGTTTTTTAAAGGTAATATAAGTAAATATATAAATTATTTGTAAATTCTTAATTATAAAAAAATAACAATTATTTTCAAAGAGAAGGAGTATTAAATTACTTGTAGTATAAACTTGTCTAAATATAATTCAATGTTCTTGATCAACTTGAATATTTCAAAGGCACTATATATATATATGTATGTATACTGATCTTAAGGCATTGAATAAATTGAACAGTAATTTATATATAGTTACAATATTATGTAAAATTATAAATTTATAATTATATTGTGTTATTAAATGAATTAATATAAATATTATAATTATAAATTAATAATGTCCCGTAATATTATATATTTATAATTATCATTTTATTTCTATAAAAAATATTAACTTTACCAAATATTACTGGTAGTTCTTAATATATGAAGAGTGTATTTGACGTGCGAGAGTGGGGGAGTGGGGAATTTGAATTTGCAAAAATGGAGAGAAAAGGACCCACCATCAGTTCGTGAAAGGAGCACGGGACCTAAAATGTGATATGTTCCCTTGTTCTTGGCTGGGCATGGTGTGTGGTCAGTGATCGTGACGGTGAAGGATTCCACATCCACTCGCACGCTTAGAATTATCAAGCCACACTTTTCCCATTTTCACTCTATAATAAGCATCCAATAACTATTAGTATTAATTAAATAAATTTTTAGTTGAGGTCCAAAAATTAGTACTGCTAAAGTAGGAGTATTTCTTTTGCCTTAAAACGGATTTCCCAACAAGGTAAGAAGATGACTTTGAATTAGTGCCCAATACTTCTTGTAAGTTTCGTATTCGAATCTCATGAATTTTATTTTTTCATTCTTTAATTACTTCATTCAAAAGAAAAAAAATAAGGTAAGAAATTTTTTTAAATGATATAATTATAATATTATTAATTTATAATTATAATTTATTATTAAAAATATATATAATATTATAAATAAATTTTTAAATAAAAAATTAATTATATCATAATATATCATAATTATAAATTTATAATATAGATAGGAGAGTGATTTTGGGTGTATTATGTATGGATTAGTAAGAACCAACACCAACAAAAAGTCCAAGCCCAAGCCCAAAAGTGAAACCCACAATGCTCACACCTTTCTCTTCTCTCTTCCGTTCCTTCTCCTTCTCCTCCTCCTTTCCTTCTCCCTCATCCACTTGTAAATATTATATTAATTGACAGAAGCAAAATGAAAGTTTTTGAGTAGAAAGAGGTTGATATCCAATTGCATGATCTATTACCTAATTAACACATGAAATAGAAAGAAGAATGATAAATTTTAAAGATTAATGTCATCTACAATACATTAATAAAATCGCAGGTTCATTCCAAAGTAAACAAAAAAAAGGAGTTTCATGTACGTTTACCTCAAAAGAAGAAAAGAGTTTTCTCATTTCAAAGGCGCCCCAACCTTCTTACGTGACAAAAGAATGGAGTTATATAAAAATGCTAAAACTAAGCTAAAACTTATATTATTTTGATACTAACCCAAAAGTCATATTAAATTCAATTAACTTAAAATCAAATTATGAGAAAAACTTTCGTAATTATTTTTTTATTTATAAAATTTAAATTTAAAATTTTATTTTAAAAAATTAAATTTTTTTCAAAAGAATTGAATTTCATTCGTTTAAACTAACAGGTCAGAGAACTAAGCTAAAAACCATATTATGCTTATTTGGTACAATAATTTAAAAGGGTTAATAATTATTATTACTAAAAGCAATGATAAAGTGATAATGTTTTTATATAATTTTTTTATGTATATTATTATATAAGAGAATATATTTAATATTATTAAATTTTAAATTTTTAAATATAAATTAAAATTTATTTTTTTAAATAATTAAAACTACTAAACACTAATATTATAATAAATTATATTATAAATTTATAATATTACAAAACATTATAATTATATCACTTTTAATAATTAATAAGGATTCACGCCACAATATTCAACATGCAATTAGATGGGTCCCGCACCCACGAGAGCAGGTCAGCATTTTACTTTGTTTCTCGCGACACAGGCACGTCACAAGTCACATGGAGCGCCTTACGTGTTCGACGTAATGTCTCACTGAAAACGAAAACCAATTCCGGAATCCAGATTATCAAATCCAGACATCTCAGAGATGCGGAGGTGCGTCGCTCCACTTTCGCCGTTGATCTCCTCCTCCTCTTCAAGCTCATCGTTTCTCCGTCAGGTACTGTCTCCGTTTCTTGTCTCTCCGCTTTGATTCAAGAACTATGCAGACAAACAGTTGATACGTTCTGATCGTGATTGATGTTGATTTACTGCGTAATGTATTTGATCCTTGTATGTTCTTAGCTGGTCTGAGTTCTAGTTTTCTTCGGATTTTACAGGCGCCATGGAGATTTAACATTTGGGAATCATTTACGACAGTAATAGGCAACAGGGTATTCTTTTGACTCGTCTAATTATTGGTTTAGTGGTATAAATTGGATTTCTTGGAGCAATTTTAGCTTGTGTTCAATGCGTTCATAATTGTTTCTTGCTAAAATATTCTGTTTCTTCGTATCGACATTGTCTGTGGATTGAAGTTGAAAGTCAGAGTAACTAGATTGTAGTATTTCCCAGTTACTTTGTGCTATAATTGAACCATTTTTCATGGATAGTCTGCCTGTAGAAAATATTGATATGCTGCATTTTGTGGTAGGTGTATGGCGGAACATATTATTGCTATCTCAAGTTAAACCCCTTTTGCCTTGTAAGTTTAGGGGAATGCTTTTAGGATGAAAAATGTACATTTCAGTTATTTTATAGTTGTTTAGTTTGCAAACATTTTTTTAGGTAGAAAAAGAAAGGTCTGCGGTGGATGGTAAGAATTTAATCATCAAATTTCTTGTCTCACTTGAATATTTTTCCTTTTAAACTGAAAAAATATATATATGGGAAAAATGCATATCAATTCCGACTCCTAAAAAAAATTGGAGTCCTAACCTTAAACTATGTCATTTTATTTAATTAAAACTTAATTTAAAATTTAAAAATTTATCTTATTAAATATTGATATTTAGATTTGAAAACTGATTGTATTTTTGAATTTTGAATTTGGATTTTAGTTTCTAAATAGAGTTTGGGAATTCAATTTTTTTTTAAAGTCAAGATTGATACGCACTAACCTCTATATATATATTATTATTATTTATGAGAGTACAAGAGGTACTCCAACCCTTACATCATACACATCCAAGTCTTAAATATAAGCAAGGTATTCTTCAAAAACCAACCAATACAAGACAAAGTGCTAAATAACCCTTCACAGCATGATACAGGCACCTGGCTTTATAACAACCAGTAAAAATACCCTCACTGTTAGCTCTGCTCATAACTATCATGTGACACCATCTACATATGTCTGGCCTTCCTGCAAAGAAACCTTCTTCCTATCTAGGGATGACTTCAGGCACATCACAGGATTGATTAACCAATCTGTTAAAGTAAAATTACACAGCTTCATCCTGTACTTAATCCAATTAAAGGCTCTTAGTTGAATTAATTTGATTAATCTCCCTTCATCTACCTCCTTGTCTCTAACACTCTCCATTTCTAGTAAGCCACACTATCCAATTAGTTGAAAACCACACAACCTCCCACCTGGTTCTCACCTCCTCTGCTTTAAAAGGGTTGCTGTGTTGTTCAAATGAATCACTACAATTGCCGGCTATGGCAGAAACGATACCCCACCATCAATAGCAAAATGTCCAAAGCACATGACCTCCCATCATCTTGCTTGAATATCATTCGGGCAATATGCATATTAGTTACGTTCCTGCTTGGTTAGAGCTGTGAGTTCTTGGGTGTTAAATGGATAAACTAACCTCTAGTTTCTTCCATGTTTAGGATAAACAAGATCTAGCAACTTTTTGGTACCAATTTTTTCTGTGTGGTTTCAACTTGTACCTTCATATCATTAGTGCAGTCTTAGTTTGACACTGTTAAAGTCTAGTGGGACATTTTCTATTTTTAATTTTGACTCTCATTCCTTTTCTTTCTGTGTTTTTTAAATTGTATGATCTTCTAAAACATGCCTCTCAATTGCAGCAATACGGATCTTTTTGCTGCTAGATATTTCATGGAAGTGATTCATTCGTGTTGCTTACTTATCTGGATGCAGGTATATGATTTACCAGTGCCTGAAGATAATACTCCATTCATAACCTTTGTCCTAGGTAATACTGTAGGTGCTGGGCTGCATGAGGTCCCCTTTACTTTTTATATCCTTCCCTGGAAAATTAATTTAAGTTTCATTTGTGCATTTGGAACTCATACTCCTTGTTTCTTTGAATTTCTGGCATAAGATTGAGTCTTATCCTTAATTTGTTATTTTCATTTTGGGAGAGGGAAATGTTATTAAAAATGCCAATGCAGTAAGATCTATATTTGATTCTCTGCTTAACAAAAGATATATTTTAGAATTTACCAACTGGCTTAGGAAAATCATATTAGTTTTAACAAGGACTTGGAATTGAATCTTGCTTCTTCAGGGATTGGTGGGTTTAGGGGAAGGGCCATGCCATGTTGTCTAGTCCAATAATTAGTACCAAAAGAATGTGTTGTGTGGTGAACCAGTGCAAACCTTTCCAGCTTCTTTAGTGCTAGAAAACTTTTAGATGGTCTTGTTTTATTAGAAATTTGATATATCATTTTGAATTTTTTTTTATTGATGTAGTTATGTTAGTGATATTAATTATTTGCAAATAAGCTTACTTTCCGGCTTTAATTATTTTTGGCATATGAAGCACTTGCTTCATTATAACTTATTAATATCAGATCCCTGTGGCCTGTTTTCTTGTCGGTGTTTCTGTCATCCTCTAACTGTCATGTGGAAACAATTTGGGAAACCATCAGACTTTCATAAACTATGATTGGAGCTATGTGTATTGCTGCTTTTGTCTAAAGTGTTCAGATAAATATTGTTTAGCTGGAAACTTTTCTTGAGAAACTTATTTTTAACCAGATTTCTGTTTAATGTTTCCAAGGTGGTCCTGGTAGTGGAAAAGGTACTCAGTGTGAAAAGATTGTTGAGACCTTTGGATTCAGACATTTGAGTGCGGGTGATTTGCTAAGGAGGGAAATAGCTTCGAAAAGTAAAGATGGGTAATAATGGCTGACTACTGTTGAAAGACCATATTCCTTTCAAACTTTTTAACTTCTATTGTCATCTAATGATAAAACTTTGATTTCAGTTCCATGATTCTTAATATAATTAAAGATGGAAAAATTGTTCCTTCCGAGGTGACAGTAAAACTGATACAGAGGGAGATGGAATCAAGTGACAACCATAAGTTTCTCATTGATGGCTTCCCACGAAGCGAGGAGAATCGGATAGCATTTGAACGGATTGTGAGCTTCTCTCAATTTTCTTGTTTCCAATTGTTTTCTTTTGTAAAAGTTTAAATTATGTTCTTTTATGTCCTAGATGTCTTGCTTGTGCAGAACACAGGCACGAGTACCTTATTTCGCTTCCCAACCTTTGATATTGATTTTATAGTACCTATATTTTGTTAACCTAGTTGGTAAAATTTTTTCTTAATGGAATTTGTAACATATATAGACAGTTAAAGATATAAAGCATTAGTTATTTTTATTGTTTAACAGACTTTGTTTATTATGAGACTTCCAGATTGGAGCAGAGCCAAATATTGTTGTTTTCTTTGATTGCCCTGTAGAAGAGATGGTGAAACGAGTGCTAAATCGTAACCAGGTTGTTGTAGTTGATTTTTTCCCGTGGTTGAATTATATCAAAACTATCATTTTGAATATGGTGATTTGTAATTGCAGGGCCGTGTGGATGATAACATAGATACAATCAGAAAGCGTCTTAAAGTGTTTGAGGCATTAAGTCTCCCCGTCATCAATTACTATTCTCAAAAAGGAAAATTGTATACGGTATCTCTACACTATATGCCTTTTTCTGGGAGTTAATATTATATTTTCTTGTGATTTATTTGTGTCAAAATATTATTGTTTTCTCACTTGCAAGCATATGAAACTAGAACCCTGGCCTAGCATGGGTTGTTATCCCTAGGGTGCACCACCCTGATGTTGCAGCATACAGACATTGCTAACTTGGGTTCAAGTTTCCTTAACCCACTTTTCCCACTTCTCAAAACAATTCCCCTACAATAAAAATTAATTATGTGGGAGAATGGGACTAAACGTGTAGGGAGTTATATTGCTTTGCATCCATTCAGGTCTCTTATGTTAGTTATTTTCCACATTCCTTCTTTTGTGATTGCTGTCTGTTTGTTCCTGGTTGATTGGGGGTTCATATTATTCCCTTGAGTCGAAAAGTTACTTATTACATGGATCAAGAATCATGCGTTGGTTGTGTGACATAAGAAAATGTGTGCAGATCAATGCAGTAGGAACTGAAGACGAAATATTTGAACAAGTTCGTCCAATTTTTGCCACCTTGAAGGTATGTTTTGTTAGTGTATTTTTGTCTCTATTTTTTTGGCTAAACACATGAGTTATTTCTTTCATAATTGATGGTATTTCTGAAAGAGCCATATAACTACACTTTATGCTAATACCTTTACGGGGTCTCTCTTGCTTGCTTCTTCTTGGCTATGTTTGTGTGCTCTGCACCATGCTTTTACCGTGCTGTTACTTTTTAGGAAAAAAAATAGCAAAAAGGTTTACCTCATAGCTGCTGAACATTTCCTCTTTTTGATTCAATATAATGGGAAAAAGGTATAACTCTGTTTATTGGTGAACCTAAGGCTAATCTAGGTAAAGTAGATGAAAAGTTGGAAGCTAGATATCTATAGGGAAAAACACATATCAGTCCTAACTCTCAGGAAAAAAATAAAATGGGGGTCCTAACCTTAAATCACGTCATTTCATTTAATAATCTCATAGTCAAGCATATATGTCTTGAATTATTTATTACACTTATTTTCAGTGGGCAGGATTGCTCAAATGAGTTGTTTTTATTATGAAGCAGGTGAGTAAATGATATGTTGGATTAACCAAATGTAGCAGAAAGACATGAGGATACTTTTTGCATACCTTTTCTTCTGCTAAAGATCACCATGAGTTGACTAACTATAAACACGTTTCCCAGAGGAATTCTCAGCAGTAGGAGCTTGGAAATCGAGTCGGGCAAAAGCTATTCTACCTAGAGACTTTTCTGCCCAAATTTTTACTTAATAATCTAGAATTTTTTTTTATCAAAATATAAGAACTCGACATCGTCTGAATAATATTTAGTGTTATTATTTGTCATGTTATTAACTTCTTCTGATGACATGGTCCACATGGTTCCAGTTAAGAATAAGCCTGTGTTGGTGGTGCGTATGGGTTTTTGGGAATCATAGGTTTGTGATCAATGCCCTTGTCATATGTATGCAAAATTTGGTGGTATTGTCAAGGCTAGTAGGTCTTCTCTTAACATTATGGAATTCTTCACTATGCCTTGATGGCTATTTTGGTTGATGCATTGGAAATATTCCATGCCTCGTGCTTCAAGATGCATTTTTACCTGAGGAAGTGAGTCAGTGACTATCAGCAATTCTTGTTGGCATTTTTCATCCTTGAATATTGGAGTTCATGTTGTTGGATGAGTTATGGGTTATAGGTCAAGGGATTGAGTGGAATATGTCCATTGCTAATGTTATAGTTTGTCACCAATTATGTTTGAGTTGTATTACAAGCAAGGATAGAAAATAAGGTAAGAGAGGGTTGTTTTCAATTATATAATTCAAATTAAAAAAAAAAAATTATAGTTTTTCAAAAAGCAATTCATAAAAGTTTATGGGTTTTTTAAATTTGTGGTATAAGTTAAAGATGTAATTATTAAATTTTTTTAGCATTAATTAATATTAAAAAATATAAAAGTTGTTATTAATTTCATCACTAATGCTACACTAATTATTTTAAATAAAGATTAATTTTTATTTTTATAATAGGTTTTTTTTAATATGTACTTTAAGAATGCAATTATTTCATCTTTTTAATATTCATTAGTATTAAAAAATATATAAACTATTATTAATTTCATCACTAATATTACACATTATATTAATTAAGCAATTGCTTAAATAAATGTTAATTTTTATTTTTTTTGAACAAATTACAATTATTTACAAGTATTAATTGGGGAATGGGAAAAGAGATTCTATGGGGCTCAAACACATAATCTTTAAAAAGTGAATGGTCTTAACTCATGGTTTATGTCACTAAATCAGAGTGTATCGTTCTAATTTTTATTTTTTGAATACTAAATAATATAAAAAAAAATATAACAGTTCAGCCTTAATTTGTATTTTAAAAATATAGGTTAAAAAAATCCTTTTTAATATTATGTTATATATAAAAAGTGCAACAATTGCACCATTACAAACCCTTAGAAATGCAAAAAATTCCAGAATTACTATGTAACCTTGAGAAAATGTACTACAAAAAGGCAATCCCCACACAAACCCACACGCATTTTTTTGTATTGGGCTAAGCCAGAGACCATGGTCCATGGCAATCCTACTACTTAGTACGGCAAGTAATCAGGGCTGAAGTCTGAACTGGCTTGAAATGAAATTTATTGCGGGCTGAAAAAAAGCCCAAATCAACATAAGCCGATCCCTTCAGCCCAACATCTGTTAAAACCCAAGTCTTAGCAAAACTCCCAATCCAATGAAAAACCCTAACCCTAGCAATATATACCCACGCAGAGCAATCTTTTAACTCCATCATTTGAGAAGAAAGAGTCGGTAGAAGCCGCACAACCGCAGCTCCACACCTCTCTTGGCCCAGGTATATCGCCCTCCCTTCCCTGAATGGAGTCATGGATCTTTTTTTTTTTCCCTTTTTGGTTTTCGTTTTTCCTTTGTTGCTTGTAAATTGTAAATCTGTTTCGATTTCCTCAGTTCCTAAATCGTCTTCAATGAAAACTAAGCAACCATGTATGTTTCACTTCATAGATTACTTTCGTTTTATGGGTTTGCTTCAATTTGTTGTTTCTATGAATGGTCTTGTGTCTGCAGTTTATGAACTCGTTTGTCACTTGTTTATGACAATTTGTGGTGTGACCCTAGTAAGAAGCAGCGTGAGAGGAAAGACCAGCATTAAATGTTGGAAATCCTTTTAGTGTTAGAATATTGGTGGGTTTTTGAGTGATTGAATTGATTATCATGAGCAGGAGAACAAAACAAAGAAAGGAACGATGGCGTATGCTGCAATGAAGCCAACCAAGCCTGGTTTGGAAGATACCCAGGAGCAGATTCACAAGATCAGAATCACCCTTTCCTCCAAAAATGTGAAGAACCTTGAAAAAGGTGCTAATTTGTATACCTTGATTATTTTGATTTCTATTTGTGTAAAGTTATTCCTTTGTATGAGTGCTCATGATTAATCTGGAAAATTTTAATCTTCTGTGGTTGATTTGTAGGAAAAGTTTGTTGTGTGTTTTTTATTCGTTTGCTAAATGATAATGCATTTGTTTGATGTAATCTTGCCTATTCTGGTCTGATGGTTTTTGGTCTGTTTGGCAGTATGTGCTGACTTGGTTCGTGGTGCCAAAGATAAGAAGCTGAGGGTCAAGGGACCAGTGAGAATGCCCACAAAGGTTCTTCACATCACCACCAGGAAATCCCCCTGTGGTGAAGGTACTTGTTTCCAGCATATTTTTAATTTGACTGCCTTGTAGCATGGTGAGCTGCTTATTGTAGTGTGTGTCCTTAGAACAGTTGTTGTCTTGGCATGCTAAGTGGTGCTTTTGGATACTAAGTATTGTAGTGTATGCCGACACCCAAACCCTAGTGTGAAAAGAGAGGGTAAAAGTGTACAGAACGTGAAGAAAAGATAGAGAGAGACCCTTTATATCATGGACCAGCTGCCATCTAAAGGAGACACACTCTCACCTTAAACCTAGAACACTAGAGTTATTTCATAATGTTCTTGCCTAATTATGAATTTTATTTATTAACATTAATAATAATTAATACATAAATATGTCACTCACTCATTCACTCCCTCCACTAGTTTGTAAACTAGAATTATACTTTATAAAGTTCACAACTAAAGAAATGAAATGAAAATAGCACAAGCCACCCCAGTCCTGAGAAGTATTGCTCTTATACCGGGTGTAACATGGCACCAAATAATCTGATCCATGACATTTCCTGTTGAGCCTAAAAGAAGTATAAAGCTTTAGGAGAAATGTTGATGTTAATGCATTGAGACTAAGAATCTCTATTTGAAAGCACTTTAAATTTTCCAGTTCATTTGCAAATTCAAATTTGCTTTTCCCATAATGGATTGAACTTGGCATGTTTCTTTTTCTTTTTTTATTCATCTCGTTTAGCTGTTTGCTTTTTGGTAGTGTTTATGAATATGATGAGGCTGCTCCATCAGGGTTTGATTTGCAGTAAATTTGTCACTGTGTGTATAGTTGGGATAAATTATAGGCAATAGTAAACTTGAGAGCTTGAGTGAAGCATTGTACATGCATATGTACTTTATATTAATCCAATTGGTCAACTTGTAGTTAACTTTAGAAGCTTTGTATTGTTATGCAGGAACCAATACATGGGATAGATTTGAGCTCCGTGTCCACAAGCGGGTGATCGACTTATTCAGCTCTCCTGATGTGGTCAAGCAGATCACCTCAATTACTATTGAACCTGGTGTTGAGGTGGAGGTTACTATTGCTGATTCTTGAATGTGGCTCACTTTTCCCCTTTTTGGATCTTTTGTGATTCTTAATTTAGAGAACTTTCATGTGTCCCTAAACATAGCCTCCCTAAGGATGAATGAATGTTTATTTTAGTGTATTACTGTAGTTCCCTTTTTGCCATACTATTTTTGACTTCGGAGTTTTATGTGATACAATATTCTATTTCCTTTTCATGTTCGTGATCTCATGTTATGTATGTGTTCATTGATTGCATTTGCTTAGCAATCAGTTCTTACTAGCTTTCTTATCAGTTCTTCTATCTGAGTGTCTTGAAGAACACACTAAGGTACATGGGTCGTGCAAGAATGGGTTTTTAGGCATGCTCATTGATTTGGGTCTTTAAGCATTCAATCTTAAAGGTCCTAAAGGGTGATTGGCAAAGCTTTAAAATGTAACTTAAAATAACTTGCTCAAAAGGATATTTCATTTTCACAAATTTAAATATTTTTTCTCAAAAATTTATTTGAAAGTTATTTTAAAAATAAATATTTAAAATTTTTAAATAAAATTTTAAATTTATGGGAGAAAACTCTACTTTTGGATAATCACTCTCTTAGTCGGCAGCTGCCATTTGACAGATATTTATTTTATTATTGTATTCTTTGGATGAATGCGACTGTGTCGAGCTAAAAAAATATCTTCTTTTCTGCATCTCATGCCAACCATCTATTATCCATGCCATTTTCTTTCTCAATAAACGAAAATTACATTATGGACATTATGATTGCAAAGTGCTTCTAGCCTTCAAAAAGATCCAGATATCATGTCTAACTTCTACGATAAGATTTCCCATGGCCTCGTGTCCGAGCTCTGGCCATGGTGGCAGGCTGGACTCGCCGGTATCAGACTCTCGCCGTTCACTCTCCTCGCCGCCACAATAGTAGCCGTTTCTTGGTATTTATGGCTGACGAAGAAATCAACCAGAGGCATGCCACCGTTGCCACCCGGTCCACCAGGCTTGCCTCTTCTAGGAAACCTTCCGTTTCTTCAACCTGATCTCCATCGCTACTTAGCCAAATTGTCTCAAACTTACGGTCCAATCATAAAGCTTCAATTTGGTAGTAAGATTTGCATTGTCATAAGCTCCCCATCCCTCACCAAAATCATACTAAAAGACCATGATACGATCTTTTCTAACCGTGATGTCCCCGCATCAGTAATAGAGATATCATATGGCGGAATTGATGTTGCCTGGAGCCCCAACAGTCCCCATTGGCGGAAGATGAGAAGGATTTTCGTTCATAATTTGATGAGCCCCTCGAGCCTCGACGCCTGCTATGAACTTCGTAGACGAGAAGTGCGAGAAATGGTGAAAGACATCCATGAAAAGGTGGGGTTGAGTATTGACGTTGGGGAGCAGACGTTCCTCACGGTGCTGAGCTTGACAACGAGCATGTTATGGGGCAGTGCATTGCACGGGGAGGAAAGGAGGAGAGTTGGGGTTGAGATTAAGGAGGCGGTGGCGGAGATTTTTGAATTAGTTGGAGAACTTAACATTTCCGATCTTTTTCCTGCCCTTGCTCGATTCGATCTTCAAGGAATCCAAAAGAAAATGAGGAAAATTCGGTTGTGGTTTGATGGGATTTTTGAATCACTGGTAGAAAATGGATTGAAGATTGAAGAGAGCAGGGAAGAAACAAAGGATTTCTTGCAATTGTTGTTGGAGATGCAGCAGCAAGGAGATGAAAAAACCTCATTATCCTTGGACCAAATCAAGGCACTGTTAATGGTAAAACATTTCTCTTATGCATTAACTTCAAATCCATTTAGTTAAAGTTTCACTTTCCTCTTTCCCATTTTTAAATTTTGAAAATGGAAACTTATTTCTTAAGAGAAGATTCTTTTCTTCAGAACTAATGTAAGGTTCTTAAATGTGGATGTGGTGTCATATCTAACAACTTTAATTGTTCCGACACTGTTTTTACTATTTGGAAGTGAAAGCCTGCTTGCTCTATTTGAATCTGTACAAGGCGACTCTTATTGCATCCATATATTTTGAAAATCAAGTGTTGAAAACACAAATTGGTTATTTTCTCAAACTTACACGCTCGATTTGGGTTTATGTTCATCAACAGGATACAATTCTTGCTGCTCCGCGTACAACATCTGCAGCAGTGGAATGGGCAATGGCAGAGATGCTGCGGCACCCAGAGAAAATGAGAAGAGTTCGTGAAGAAATTGAGGAAGTGGTCGGCAAGCACAGCATTGTGGAGGAATCCCATTTGCCCAAACTGCTATATTTGGATGCAGTCCTGAAAGAGAGTCTCCGGCTGCACCCCCCAGCTCCGCTCATGGTGCCACGCAGCCCAGATAGGACATGTACCGTGGCAGGATACACAATCCCTCAGGGCTCAAAAATTCTATTTAACACATGGGCAATTCAGAGGGACCCTGAAGTTTGGGAAAATCCCCTGGAGTTTGAACCTGAGAGGTTCTTGAATGACCCTGGAAAAGGTGATTACCATGGAAACAACTTCAGTCTTCTTCCGTTTGGGGCCGGAAGGCGAATATGTGCCGGAATTCCTCTTGCGGAGAAAATGATGAGGTATGTAGTGGCCACATTGGTGCATTCTTTTGAATGGGAATTGCCAGAGGGGGTGGACCATGATCTCTCTGATAAACTCGGATTCGTTTCGAAAAAATCGATTCCTCTTGTTGCCATACCCACAGTAAGATTGCCCACTGCGATTCAATATCTTTAGAACTTTATCATCTCTTCTACTTGCCCCATAATTTGACTCTAGGGATGAGGAGTTAAGGATATGTGAGCAGTAAATGCTGCCTAGAAATAATCTTATGTTTCCAGTTATGGTATGGAAGAATGACATCTATTTATCATGAAGGCAAATATCATTAAGTTCTGTTACAAATTAGTAGGCTTTCATTTAAAGTTTATTGTTAAACAATTCTAATTTCTTTGGTATAAAGTTCTCTTACTATTTTTTATTTTAACGCTCACATTTTTTGTTTTTCTGATGAAAGAGCAAATTTCAGTGATGATAAATATTTCAGTGTTCAATGAGTAGGGGAAACAGAACCATGTGCAGCCCCTATCCAAATCATCTCACACCCCACGTCAGGTGCTAGGCGAGCTAAGTTATGAATACAGACATTAGCCTCATGCCCAAAATGAGAAAACCCAAAACTATCCATCCCAGCCGGTAAACCATGAATCTCAACTACTAAAGCACCAAACTTGTGGGTTGACTCCATCCCTCTTTTCACCTCAGCAATCCCCCTGATTGGAATCACTTTCAAGCACTAGAGACCGCAAGCTGTAAAGGCAAGAAAAAACGTTGGCACAAAGGCTGTTAAGGCAAAACCCAATGTTAAGTCCCTAGACTTTTCTTATTTTCTCACGTAGGCCTTCAAAGAAAAAACATAGCATGCATACCCCTAAATTGTATTTGAGCAAATTAGAGTTCGTGTTAATGGCAAAATCATGTGCGGTGATGTAAATTAAACAATTATTTGTTTTTTTATTTGTCTAATAATTCCTTTACACTTAGATATTGATATAATAATTTCTTCATACTTATATACCTACAAATATAATTCAAAATACTCAAAATTAAAAACTAAACAACTGACTCTCATACTACGTTAGCATCTAAATGTATAAATCTTAAATCTTAAATCTTAGATTTGAACTTCATGAACATGATACTAGTTTTGGACTTTATAGCTTAGATTAAAACTTTAAAATAGACTGAGAACTTTAACAATGATCTTTATACTTAATTTTGACATCTACTTTTGTCATTTTCGTATCATATATGATGCATTAAAAATGTAACTTTGTTCATAATCTTAGATTCATGAACATGGTCGAAAACATGATTAATTAAGGCTTCTAAAGCACATATTCTGGTAGTATTTTTTTGGTGCATAGAATATTTTCTATATTTTTTGTGATAAGGACATGGTTTTGATTTTATGTAGAGTTCAAAAGCATAGAAATACTTGATTTTTTTTTTTTTTTAATGGTTAGGGTGCATTTAGCCCATTTTCACTGACCTCGAGATTAATTTTTCCTTAAATGATTTTAAGGCATACTCCCTACATTGTGCTAGTGTATTAATAGAAATTAATTTCTTTGAATATTGATCTCAAGATTGGTGGTTTTTACTGAATAGTCTCGAGGAGGTTTGGCTCATTATTAGGTCAGCCTACCCAAGATTGGGTCAATAGGTTCATGCCAATCTTGGACAAGGCTCAAGCTCTTGGATATGCTTGTTTGGCTAAAGCTCTACTCAAGACTTGAACTCCAAACTTACCTTATAAGTCAACACTTACTTATTAGGACATCTAATCTAACCCTTGTAGTTAATAAATACTTGACTTTTTAGTTGATAATAGCCTAATTATGAACTTTAGTTATTAACATTAATCATAATTAATACGTAAATGTGTCGCTCTAGGTTTTTATTTATTGCGAAATGGATATGTTTTGTATTTATTGAAAAGAGAGGGTAAAAGTGTATAGAAACATGAAGAAAACAAAGAGAGAGACCCCGTATATCATGGACCAATTGCCGTCTAAAGTAGACACACTCTCATCTTAAACCTAGAGCACTAGAGTTGTTTCATAATGTTCTTGTCTAATTATGAATTTTATTTATTAACATTAATAATAATTAATACATATATATGTCACTCACTCACTACCTCCACTAGTTTGTAAACTAAAATTATACTTGAAAAGTTCACGACTAAAGAATTGAAATGAAAACAGCACAAGCCACCACAGTCCTTAGAAGTATTGCTCTTATACTGGGTGTAACTTAGCACCAAATAATCTGATCCATGACATTTCTTTTTGAGCCTAAAAGAAGTATAAAGCTTTAGGAGAAATGTTGATCTTAATGCATTGAGATTAAGAGCATGTTTGGGTTAGCTTGTAAGAGTTTTTACTTTTTTTTTGTACTGTACATGAGTGATAAATTTAAATTTTTATTAGAGGAAAAATTTAAAAGTTGTTTTTAGAAATAAGAAAAAGTGAGTAAAAAATAAATAAAAAGTTAGTAAAAGGAAGTTTATAAAAAAATAAAAGTTTAAAGTTTTTGAACTTTTACTGTTTATGATCTTTTTAAGATTAAAAAAAAGTTTAAAAATATAAGTTTTTAA